CAAGTGCAGAAAGGTCATGGGAGGTCAAGAAGGTCATGTGCAGAGAGGTCAGTTTGAGGTCAGAAGGTCAAGTGTGGAGAGACGAAGAGAAGTCAAAAGGTATGAAGACAAAAAGAAAGGTCGAAAGGCCAAGTATGAAGAAACCCAAAAAGGTCATAGGTCAAGCGGGATGAGACATAGGTCAACTGGCTACTTTTGAAAAGACTAAAAAAAGGTCAAAATTCTCATCAAAGGTGCTAAACAAACCCAAACAGGTCAAAAGGTCATGCGGGACGAGACATAGGTCAACTGGTCAATTCTGAAGAGACAAAAAAAAGGTCAACATTCTCATCGGAGGCACTGAGATCGTTCAAGGAGACCAGAAGACCGTCTAAGGGGTTCAATTCGGATGAAAAGGTCACGGGAAGCTTTCCGGTGAAGTCAGGAGGTCGCGGTAGAGGTTGAAATAAGGTCAGAGGAGCACGGGAGGGGTTCAAAGTAAGGTCAAAGGGCTTTTGCATTATTCCGAGCAACATCGAGACAGTTCCGTGTTCTCTATTGCCTTATGCTTCGTGGATTATCTGTTTCTGTTTCTGCTCTGGGACCTTTACGTCAACTTCTCTCTCTCTCTCTCTCTCTCTCTCTCTCTCTCACTCTCTTTCTCTCACTCCCACTCTCTCTCTCTCTCTCTCTCTCTCTCTCTCTCTCTCTCTCTCTCTCTCTCTCTCTCTCTCTCTCTCTCTCTCTCTCTCTCTCTTTCTCTCTCTCTCTCTCTCTCTCTCTCTCTCTCTCTCTCTCTCATCTATTTTTTTTCTCTCTTTTCTTTCATTTCCTATTACTTCCTCACTCCCCCTCTCCTCACCCTCGCCTCGTTTCCCTCTTCACAATCTATCCACTTTACCCTCCCTCCCCTCACTTCCCCTCTCCCCCAACCTTCCCTCCCTTCCCATACCCCCCCCCCCCCCACCAATTTCCTACGTTTCCTCTCTCTTCCTTCCTCCTTTCCCCTCTCCCCTCTCTTTCCCTTCTCTTCCCTTTCCCCACTCTCCCCCCTCTTCCCTTCTCTCCTCCATACTCACCCAGGTTTTCTCTTGCTTCCTCCTTTCCCCTTCCGCTCTCATATCCCCCCCCCACCAATTTCCTACGTTTCCTCTCTCTTCCTTCCTCCTTTCCCCTCTCCCCTCTCTTTCCCTTTCCCCTTTCCCTTCTCTTCCCCTTTCCCCTCTCTCCCCCCCTCTTCCCTTCTCTCCTCCATACTCACCCAGGTTTTCTCTTGCTTCCTCCTTTCCCCTCCCCCTCTCCCCTCTCCCCTCTCCTCCCCTTTCCCCTCTCTTCCCCTCTCTCCCCATACTCACCCAGGTTCTCCGCGCCCCACACGTCGAGTCCGGGGTCGTATTTGCCGAGCTGCTCCCACCAGTCTCTGGCGATGAGGAAGAGGCCGCCAGCGATCACGGGTGTTCTGGTGGGGCAAGGGAGAGGTGGGGGGATAGTTTATTAGTGCTTTGTTATTATTATTATTATTATTGTTATTATTATTATTGTTATTATTATTATTATTATTATTATTATTATTATTATTATTATTATTATTATTATTGCGTCATAGTTTTTTTTACTGAACTTTCGTTCTCTCTCTCTCTCTCTCTCTCTCTCTCTCTCTCTCTCTCTCTCTCTCTCTCTTTCTCTCTCTCTCTCTCTCTCTCTCTCTCTCTCTCTCTCTCTCTCTCTCCTTCCTTCTCCCTCCCCCTCCCTCCACCCCTCCCTCTCCCTCCCCCTCCCTCCCTCCCTCCCTCCCTCCCTCCCTCCCTCCCTCCCTCCCTCCCCCTCCCTCTCCCTCCCTCCCTCTCCCTTCCTCGCCTTCCCTCTTTCTCTCCCTCTCTCTCTCTCTCCTTCCCTCTTTCTCTCCCTCTCTCTCCCTCTCCCTCTCACCTGTAAGTCGAAGTGGGGTCCTCTCTGTTATCCTTTTCCTCCTGTGTCAAAGGAACCCAGCGGAAGTGAAGACCCCAGTCGAAACCTTTGGAGGAAAATGTGGATTATTGTTCAGAAATACGAGAAAAAAATATAAAAGTAATGTAGAAATAATATATATAATGTGAGAAGATTATGAAAGTAATGTGTGTGTGTGTGTGTGTGTGTGTGTGTGTGTGTGTGTGTGTGTGTGTGTGTGTGTGTGTGTGTGTGTGTGTGTGTGTGTGTGTGTGTGTGTGTTCGTGTGACGTATCGTGAATTTAATAGTCAATACCTCTTTACTAAAAATATCACAGGATAGTAGAACATGGAAAAAGAACAGGAACAAAAACAACATGAACAAAAAGGAAAAAAAGAGAAAAATAAAAAAGAAAAAGAAAGAATAGAGAAAGAAAGAAAAAAAAAATAAATAAAAGAGAGAAGAAAAGAAAATGAAAAAAAGAACAAAGAAAGAGAAAAAAGAGAAAAAAAGAAAAGAAAAAAGAAAAAAAAAACAGAAAAAAAAGAAAAAAAGAGAAAAAAGAGAAAAAGAAAGAAAAAATATATATACATATACTATCCTTATCTCCGAGAACAAAACTGCCCCCTCCTATTTCATACCAACCCAATATGAACCTTACAGATTCCCTCAACCCATGACTTCCTCATCACAAACCAAAGCACACTCGCAAGCAGTAAAACGAAAACATTACAAGTTCATAATCCTGACATATAACTTTTTTTTTTTAATATCAAGCTACACTTTTCTCAGAAGGAAATATCGTCCACGCCGCTCGTCCAATTTTCCATTTCCTTTTTATTTCATTTCATATCTTTATCGGAAATCTTTCTTCCTGTCTCTTTCTATGAAGACCAAAAAAATATCATTTATCCACATAACAAACAACTATTGCGACGTCATAAAAGAGTAAATTGATGCTATAATTTGCAATGATATATATATGTATTTTTTTTATTTCATGCCTTTTTCTTAATTATTATTGTTTCAACTTTTAAATTCGTTTTCAAAACCAGATGACAATCTTCTAAATCATTTTTTACCTTATTTAACTTTTAAATTAATTTTCAAAATGTTATTCACCAAGGAACAACTTAAAATATATATTTAAATTATTATTATTAGCATTATTATTATTTTATCAACAAGGGAACAACTTTTTAAATTTTATCTTTTAATAACTTATTGGCGGAGGAACAGCCTTTTTGACAACGTTATTGCAATATTGCCTTTTCTCGGAACATTGCAAGTTCTTCCTTCAACCTTGCAAACTCAGCTCTTCCGTGAGTTATGGCTGCACACACACAGAGCTGCTCCCTGGAAATACTTCTCAACAAATAAATGGAATTATTTCTCCCTTCACAAATTTCCTTTCTTTCTTTTCCTCACTCACTATCTTTCCATTCCTTTATTTATCTATTTGTTATTGTTATGATTTTCTTCCTATTACTAGGCTGTGATTTTTTTTTATATCGTTATTTGCTGTCTCTTCTCGTAAGAAAAATAATTTAAGGTGTGTTGAATAATTTAAATCTTTGCCATACTCTTTCGAAATTCACGACCTCTTCCTTGCATGCTTGGCCTTTGAGTTCACTGTATATTGGATGCTTTCTAAGGAGGGTACAATCTCCTAAGTTCCTTTTCCCTTATCCTTAGTTCTGTTATTGTATTTCTGTCTGTTTATGGCCCTGTTTTCACCCACGTGCAGCCTAGAAACCTTCCGGTATGCAATAGTGAAGTCAAATACACATACATATACACACACGAACACATACACGCGTAGACAGACACACACACTCACTCACTTATTCACTCACTCACTCACTCACTCACTCACTCACTCACTCACTCACTCTCACACACACACACAACCACTCACACACACACACATACACACACACACATACACACACGCACGCATACACAACCACCCTTACACACACAACTACCCCCCCCCCCCCCACACACACACACACACAACGCCAAAGTCGCTTTTAATTTGAAGCAATGCTACTAATATCAGAAATATTACTTTTATTCCATTATCACAAGAATTGCTTGGTCGTGTCTGATGTTTCCACTTGTCTTTTCCATTTCTCGCTGCAGTTAATTTGTGAAACGTTGCAAAAATGTTGCAAAAATGTCCAGTAAAATGTTGTGAACATGTTGCTGATATTCTTCCCTCCGATAAGATCTGGTGTTTTGTCCGTCTGTCTGTCTGTTTGTCTGTCTGTCTTTCTTTCTGTCTGTTTGTCTGTCTTTCTGTCTGTCTTTCTTTCTGTCTGTTTGTCTGTCTTTCTGTCTGTCTTTCTTTCTGTCTGTTTGTCTGTCTGTCTGTCTGCCTGTCTTTCTTTCTGTCTTTCTGTTTGTCTGTCTTTCTTTCTGTCTGTCTGTCTTTCTTTCTGTCCGTCCATCTGTCTGTCTGTTTGTCTGTCTGTCTGTCCATCTGTCTGTCTGTCTGTCCATCTGTCTGTTTATCTGTCTGTCTGTCCGTCCGTCCGTACATCTATCTGTCTGTCTGCCTGTTTGTCTGTCTATCTGTCCGTCCGTTCGTCCGTCCATCTGTCTGTCTGTGTGTCTGTCTGTTTGCCTGTCTGTCTCTTTCACTTGGTCTCTCTCTCTCTCTCTCTCTCTCTCTCTCTCTCTCTCTCTCTCTCTCTCTCTCTCTCTCTCTCTCTCTCTCTCTCTCTCTCTCTCTCTCTCTCTCTCTCTCTCTCTCTCTCTCTCTCTCTCTCTCTCTCTCTCTCTCTCTCTCTCTCTGATACATACATAAGCCTCGGCTGAACAATTATACGCCAAGAGTAATATGTAACTTCCTTACTTTTTCTCGTTATTTATCTATCATTCATTCATTTCTTATTATAATTTCTCGTTTTGTCTCATTCATTTAAAAGTGCACTCTCCCTCTTCTCTCTCTCTCCATCTCCCGTGACCTAGTACCTGCCTCGTGACCTGAGCTGACCTTACCTCCTTTAAGCACTGTCCCTGTTGCATGGTAGTCCAAGGTTTCCTGGTCAATGACATCAATGACAGGACACGCAAGAGTTTTGGGTTT